TACTCTGCATTGGTGAGGCCACACCTTGAGTATTGTGTTCAGCTCTGGGCCCCTCAGTTCAGGAAGGACATTGAGGTGCTGGAGCGGGTCCAGAGAAGAGCAATGAGGCTGGTGAAGGGACTTGAGCACAAGTCCTATGAGGAGAGGCTGAGGGAGCTGGGGTTGTTTAGTCTGGAGAAGAGAAGGCTTAGAGGTGACCTCAGCACTCTCTTCAACTACCTGAAGGGAGGTTATAGCCAGGTGGGGGTTGGTCTCTCCTCCCAGGCAACCAACAATAGGACAAGGGGACATGGGCTCAAGCTCTGCCAGGGGAGGTTTAGGTTAGATGTTAGGAAGAAATTCTTTACAGAGAGGGTAATCAAGCATTGGAACAGCCTACCCAGAGAGGTGGTGAATTCACCATCCCTGGAGGTTTTTAAGCAGAGATTGGATGTGGCCCTTAGTGCCATGCTATAGTAATTGGAGTTGGATCAGGGGTTGGACTTGATGATCTTGGAGGTCTTTTCCAACCCAATCTATTCTATGATTCTATGATTCTATGAAAAGTGCTGAGGTACTGATTCTTTAAGCACTTTAGCAGGTATATAAAACAAATGTACATTTTTGTGACTGAACTCTGTCTGTACAAATGTGTATGAGTTTATAGCGTGAAGAACTAAAACTGTGTTTTTAACAAATGGCTTTCTCTGGCCCCAAGTCTTTGTCCCTTCAGGTAAACTATTTCCAGTCTCACATTTAGAAGACAAGTTCTGTAGCCTTCAAAATTGCCAAACTTTTTGGAAGATTGTATTATGGTCAAAGCATTATCAGGTTACTTCTTAACAGCTGTATTGTAAAAAGACAGTCTTTCAAAAATGATTTGTTTTTTCTTGATGAAGCACAAGCTAGTTGTTCATCTTGTGTATGGATATGTAGTTTTCTTTTTTTTTTTACTCTTCTATTAAAAAAACAAACAAAAAAACCAAAATGAAGCCTTGATCATGTTATTTTCCAGTATGTATGAATTTGTTTGTGAAATAAGTAAAAGGATAAGACAAAATATCTTCCATGCTGCCATTGACCCTACTTTTGTAGGTTGTAAGCAAACAACTTAACCTCAAAACCTAACATTATTGTAAACTACTGTTCATAGAAATGGAAAGGAAAAGTGAGTAGCTAGTTAAGGAAATAAATTGTAAAGCACATTGAAAGCGAAGTAATAATGTCATATATGAAAGTTGGTTTCAAATCTTTTAACTGTAGGAAAGTTTTGAACAGCATGGTCTTTTTTTGCACACGTTATTTCTACTCTTAAAATAATTGGGTTTAACTTACTGAATTTTGCTTACCTTTAGGTTCAGATTAACTGATCAGTCACTGATTTCTACCTAGTACATCCTTCTCTCAACTATAGTTACTGAACTTTCCAAATAAGTTCAAGGGAAAGGAGCTGCAAGTGGGGTTGCGGGAGAGTTGGGGTGTCAGGAGAGGTGGGACAAGGTAAATGGCAATATAAATTGCCAATTAATTTAAAGCCAACATCTACACTGAATTTTCTGGATTTTTGAGAGCATATTTTTAAGAAGTAGATACTTGTATACCTTTAGTCTTGGTCAGCATGTTGAGCTAACCAGTCCAAGTTCCAGTAGCACGAGGGTGGGAAAACTAGCATGAGTAGCAGTGAAATCAATAAACTATTTTTCTTATTGAAGAACCAATTAAATATAATGTGATTATTTGTATTCAGTGAATATATTTGTTGAAAAATTGAACCATATTGTGCACAAGGTGTCTGGGGGCTTTGGTAGAATATTATTGTAACTGCTGAATGAAATACCTTTAGTTTGCAATGCCTTGTCTCTGGATAGACTGTTCTCGTACATCTGAAATGGAAAGAATACTGGACTAAAAAGATAACTTTTTTAGGTAATCAATCTAAACATTTAATTATAGTGATTATTTATGAAGTAAAGGTTTTTTTAATGCTTCCTCTCCAGCACCAGTTACAGCTGAATTGCTTGGCTGTCACAGATGGGCAGTCTGAAGTACCTGGTGTTCAAGACAGGGTTGAATTTATGCATGTTTGATATCATCAATAGTGTGGCTTATGGAGCAAGATGGCAATAATATTTGTAGTTTGCCTCTAACCATAAAATCTTTTTGATCCTGTGATTACTAGTGCCAAATGGAAGAGGTCCCTTGAGGTTTCCATTAGAAAAGGAAGAGGATGCCCCCTACTTCCAATCTTGCAAGCATCTTTATAAATATAGATCTTTGAAGCAAATATTGTAATATGAGTGTATGGCATGTGAAAATGGTCAGCATGAAGGCAATGGTGTTGAGCTGGGAAATACTGATACAGGAGGATAATATTTCTAGAAAATGTGAATGTCAGAGACTTGCAGAAGGAATATTTTCCTAGTGTGAAATTAATAGTGGTTTCAGATATTCAGAAGCACAGGACAGAAGTGCAAGCAGGGAAATAAGAGGGTAGCAAAATGAGAATTAGGACAAAGTAGATCAGATGAACTCTAATGAAGGTAGGCTTGTCTGTGTTGGATCTTGTGATGAAGGATGAGTGTAAGGGCTAAAAATTCCTGTGAAATGGCAGTGAACAGGGACCTGTGAAGTGGAGATGTGGGTGAAATTATTTTTCAGAACTCTTAAGGTGAGAACAAATGAGAAGAGATGATAGTGGAGAGACCTGAAAATGCATTATGGTCATGAGGGCAGAAGCAGCTGTCCAAACCTGCATCTGGTTAGCCTGGAGGAGATGCAGAAGGGCTGCCAGAGGAAGGGATCTTGTTATCAAGGTGTAGTGCAGCCTGAACTAATAAAGGTGAATATAGTGTGAAGATTGCACAGGGGTATGGAGAGAAATCATATGGTAAAGTGAGACACTGAGTGGGAACAGGAGGGACACCCTTTAAATGTGCTGGGGTTTTTAATAGGTATTTTCTAGGGGAGATGAGGCAAGAGAAGAGCTGGTGAGTACTTGATGGTGGAGAAACAAATGAGTGTTCATGTAGGTATACTTTGAAAAGTTTTACATATGTGGGAGGTGCTGCATGCAGAGTGGATGTGCTGGATAATTTTTGTGAGTTAATGGTATTACCATTTGTACTGTGACATTCCACAATCCTGGTGTGGAAACAGTTGATTCATCAGAGTGGAATTTGCATACTAATTATAACATAACTAATTATTGTATTTAAAATGCATATGCTGACATATTGCTAGCTTTTCTCCTTCCCACTTACCTTAGAAATACTTCTTAGTTAGAAAATTAATATTATTTTTCAATAATAAATGTTGCAAAGCTGAACTCCACATATCAGTGACTTGGACTTTAAGTGGAGATGGTAATAAAAATCAATTTAAGTGTCTGTTGTTTATTCATATTTGTCCCTTCATTGTAATGGTTAACCACAGCAAGGTTTCTCGAGATAAACTTTATGGCACGGAAACACCTGGTTTGTATGCATAGATTGCAAAATCATGTTGTTGTGCATAACAGCTCAGCTATAAATTAGACCCAAGTATAGTGGGATGTGGTCAGCTAACACTTTTTGATCTTATTTCACATGTGGTGCTCTGTAAGCCCTCTCTGTTTTTTACTAATCTGTTTCTTGAAAATATTTTCCATAAAACTTTACTGATCTCTATTTTATTGACAGAAAACCTTATTTCTGTTTTGGTTTGCTTTCCTGCAGGCAGCATCATAAAATCTTTATCAACTGAAAATGGCCCTTAGCAATCTGACTTCAAAGGCTGTACTGCTCTATGATGAATGGATTAAAGATGCTGGTGAGTAATTTAAGTCTGCCAATAATTTTGAATAGCAATGTGCTCTTGACTAACTTAAAAGTAGCTTTGTTATCCTGTGAATTTTTGTTAAACTTGTCAGTTACCTATTGACAGAGCAGACTATTTCTGCATTTTAAATAGGAAATAAGCAAAACTCAGGTATTTCATGGGAATAAGCTGACAGTAAGTAAAATGCAGACAGTTATTCTTCTGTAAATGTTATTAGCTTGACTGAATATATAATTTACATTTCTCCTGTGCTGCTGAATATAAGGTTTTAACTCTTTTTCATTATCAAACAATTGGTTTTTATTGGTTAATTAATGCAGGTTCATGATGTTACTGTATTTTGCTTTTGCAAAGTGAAAAACCCCAACAAATCCAAAGTTTCAGTGTTTTGAAATTAATCCTCAGAGTAATTAACCCTGTCAAAGCTCTATTTTGAAAAGGAATGTCAGTTTCTTGTTGCAGCTAGTAAGGGATATTAAACACACCTTGCTTTTATGTTGTTGTTCTATATGTTTATCAAAAACCAACAGAGAAGATCTCAGTTTTGGAGTTAAGACCCATCTATCTTGGTCTTTCTCATTGTGGTAGGCACATTAGCCAATTCCTGGGAAAAATTTGAGAAGCAGTTAAAGTTTGATAGATAAAATTACCGATTATCTTTTTCAGCCTAGCTGAGCACCTTTCCCCTTGTTCTGTAGAAACACAGCATGCAAGTGAGAAGGAAGTTTAATCAGTATGAATCAGATGAAGTGGATTGGGATGGAGCTGGGTGATGAAGGAAGCATTTCTGCTGCTATGTCCATGACTTCAGAACTTGAGTTCCTTGTCTCCCTGCCCACCAGTGCTTGTATTTGGCATTTTGTATCATACTGTTAGTGGTGGAGCATGCTTTCCTCAGGATCAAGCTAGGAAGAACAGTAGAAAAGGTTTGGTAGGAGCAGTGCAAGGGTGGATGTTGAAAGAGCAGTCAGTTATGAAGAGCTGGTGATTCTGGTGATTCTCTTGCAGTGCACACAGGCAGATTCTGAGTGCTGTGGTTCACAATCCTTGTTATCTGTGGGCAGCAGCACTGGCACATTACAAGCTGTGAGCAGCATTATAATGTGCTTTCCTCCTCAGTCTGTTTTTACACTTCCAGTGGCTGTAAACCACATCAGAGGGTTTCATGGGTGATAGGTTGCTTGAATGCTGTGGGTTGAAAATTTGCTGACTTTAAGTGTTTGCCTATGAATTAAACACTTGACAAAAATTGCAATAGTATAATTTCACTCTTAAAATACAGCAGCAAACCATGAAAACAGCAGTTTACTGAGTCAGTATTTAAGTTTGGGGTCATTCTGAAACAAATCTTCCAGAAGTCAGTATATAAAAATCAAATAAAAAAATCACATGAAGCTTGTATCAGTTCTCCTGCTTATGGAGAAACGTGGAAGTCTTTGGTGAGCTGGGACTTGGTGATGAACCACGAAAGGGTTCAGTGGAGTCATGGTGATACTTGGATGGAATGCCTGCCAGCCTTAGCTGTAGGGAGAGGGAATGGGGTGTGCATATAAGAAGGTGTCTCTGCAATATATTTCTTTGGGGTAACTGGAGAGGAACATGCAATACTTGCTTGATATATTACAAATTCCTTCTAATATGAAAGTGTGTGTTTTGTGGTGCTGTAGAGACAGAAGGTCACATCACTTATGATTCCGTGTCTCCTTTTCATTATCTGTGAAGTACTGATGCAGAAAAAAGCATTGAAACCTACAGATCCTCAATCTTATTATCCAATCAGTATGGATTTGAGGTGAATGGACTCTGAAACATGATTGGTTTGACAGGAAAACATAAAGCATTAGGAATTAAATACTTTTCTGTAGCTTTTTTAGTAAGGACTAAATCTCATTTCGTTTTTTCTCTCTTCCCCCTCTAGATCCAAGACTGGAAGGTTGGCCACTCATGTCTTCACCTTTTCCAACAACCTTTATCATTGGAACCTACATTTATTTTGTTACTTCCTTGGGACCCAAACTTATGGAAAATAAAAAACCTTTTGAACTCAGGCAGATAATGACCTTTTATAATTTTAGTGTGGTAGTCCTCTCTTTATATATGACTTATGAAGTAAGTACTACTTTTGCTTGTAATGTATTTATATATTTCATGTCTCTAGCTAACTTTTAATAAATCTATTAATATAACTCCCACTCTGCAGTTCTCAAAAAATATTATTTCAATGATTGTAATTATATTCCTCCAAGCAGTATGCTAAACTAGTGATTCTTGAAAAAATTCAGATTATTGTGCCAAATTGGTAGGACATGTTTCTTGTAGCTCTTGCTTCTTGCACGAATTTGATCAGGAATTACGATGAACTGCTTGGCATTTCTTTAAACCACTCTAAAGGCAGTGCAGCAGCAGCTACTCTGTGATATGATTGTACTGTGGAAAGTGGTGGGTAAGGTGCATGCTTTTGCTATTTAAACATCACTTTGCAAAATTGCCAAACTTCCTTTTAAAATTTGGTTCCCATTTTGGTTATAACCCTCAAAAAATCCCCAAAACCAACCAACCAACCAACCAAAAAAACCACACAAAGAAACAAACAAACAAAAAACCCCACTTCTGTTAGTGTCTGACATTACCACAGTATTCAATTAGTCTGCTGTCAAGACTTCCATATTACAATTTCTTGAAAGAATCATGGACAAAGTGTAACAGATTAAATTTCTGCTATTTTCTGGTAGTCAGCAAGAAGCTGATTCTTTCCCTCTTTGGAACCAAGTAATTTGGTAGGTGAGTTAGTACTGTGCTGTCTTGGTGGTGTTCCAAAACTTATTTTCTTTAGGCAACCAATTCTTTTAGGAAGTTAAAAAGACTAAAGTCCTGCATCTGTTAAGGGAGATGAACCTCTTATCATGCATGAGAGGATAGTGATGATGAGAAGCACTTTATAAACAGATATAAAATACAGTAGTTGTAGGGGCTGGTAGTGGAATGAGCCAAATGTAATATTAATAGTGTTGCTCGTGTCCAAAGAGATTTATTATATTATTATATTATATATATATTATTTAATATATTCTAAGAGAAAAGATTAAATGATATTTGGTACATACAGTCCTTTGTTCATGTGTGTGTTCTCATTGTAGCTTCTGATCACTTGTATCAGTGAAAGACCAACTGAATCACTCAGTTTAACTAAGGAAAAAATTTAGAAACTGTGTTATTAAATATGCATTGTGCATATGGATTTGTTCCTTGTCTTCAATGATAATTAGCAATTATAGATTTTTATAGTGCTAGTTTTGTTAGAGTAGTAAGATGCTATGTTGGATTCTTTTCAGTATTAAGATGGTTAGCTATGGTTTTGTGGTCTGATTTACACAGTGAATTGTTTTTTAGCATTGGTTTTGAGATGAAGCTGTTTTTCCTCTTCAGTCACTAATGCTGAAATAATGGGTGTAGGAAGAAAATTCCTGTCTGTAGGTGTGGTCTTGGAATTAGGAATTCATTAATCTGCAACAGCAAAGGATTTTGTGGTAGTTATCCCACACAGAGGTAATTGATTGACAAAGTTACTTATTCAACATGTTTTTAATATTGTTTTTCCTCTCCTGCTTAGAGATTGTCAAAGTAATCCAAAATAAATGAATTTTTCAAAGGAAATAAAATAAATTGTTGCCCTTTCCCTTTTCTTTGCTCCAGTTTCTTATGTCGGGTTGGGCCACAGGTTACTCGTTCCGGTGTGATATTGTTGACTATTCAAGGTCGCCAACTGCTCTAAGGGTAAGTTGCCAAACACAAAGCTGAATTATTATCATAGAACTATAGAATGGTTTGGGTTGGAAGTGATCTTGAAGATCCTCTAGTTCCAACCACCCTGCCATGAGCAAGGACATCTTCCACTAGACCAGGTCATTCAAATTAGTATTGTTATACACTGACTTTATTTTCAGAAATGCTTTTTGAACAGCCTTCTTTTTTTGAATGCACTGCTGTAAAGTTAAATGCACCATGTGGAAATGCCCTTTTAGGTAATGTAGAGCATGTGAGATAACTGGATGGGTTGGTTAGTTGGGACAAAGAGGCAATGAATTTGTTGCTTGTTCTTCTTGGTTTTAAAATTCCTTCGAGATTTATAAATATTTTGTGTGTTTAAAGAAAAATGAAGCAAACCATACACTTAAATATTTCTGTCAACCTTGGGACACCACTTAACCTGATGCTTTCCTTTATATAATTATTTACTTTCCTGTATATATTTATTTGTCCTGCAACTGCTTAGTTTTGTTTATGACTGTTATGATTTGACAGCTTTTTTTTTTTTTTTTTTTTACTCTTGCAGATGGTGCGAACTTGTTGGCTTTACTTCTTTTCCAAGTTTATTGAATTATTAGATACTGTAAGTATTTGTAGCCTAATAAAAGAAATAGTGATGTTTCCTTTTCACAATAGAAGAACTAGTGCTGTTGAGCACTGGGGGTATAAATTGCTTTTTATTTAGCCCTCCAGTCTTCAATCATTAGAATACCATCCAGGTGTCTACCCTTAATAACTCATCTGATTGTCCTACTACACTGTCATTCCTTGATTATCAAGAAAAATGTTAATGAGAGAACATAGCTTTAAAAATTTAAGAAGACCAGATAAATTGTCTGTTTAACTAACCTGTTATGCTATGAATACACTAATCTGTTATGTTATGGCAATGCTTGTCTCAACACTGCAGATAAAAAAGAGTTCATTATGCTGAATATACTTTTTCATATCATATTCAGATTTTATCTTTCCCATTCAGAATATTATCATCATCAGCTCTGAATACAGCACAAAGTTGCCATACCTACCTTCTCTAAATTCCTGAGATTGCCTTGAGGGTCATGGTTATAGAGGTGTTTGATGTCAGGCTGACACTCTAACCTTTTTCAAAGAAAGTCTGAGCAGCAATGCATTGAAACAGAATGCAGACCTCGCTCACCACCAGCAGCCATCTGCCTTTCTCTCTTCCCAAGACTAACACCAAGTAGGGTTGGCTTAGATATTTTCAAACCAGCTTCTGAGTGCTGGAATCATCTGCAGTTCTATTTGCCACCAATACTGGTGGTTCAGGAGCTGACTCCTGAGCAGTGAGGATACTCTTTGAGCAAAGTTAGCCATCTGACTTTCATTCTGCAAATGCTCATGATTCAACACTGAAAGATCTTACTGACTAAACGAAATGAAATGGTAATGGAAGGGTCAGGAATGCTAAAACTGGAAAATCCTGACAAGCTTATTCCTCTGTTTGCCTTTATTCCCCACAGGTTAGAGTGCTCCTTTTTAATTAGTCTTGAAGGTTTTTTTTTTTATTATTTTGCTGTGTTTGAATCCACACAAGTAGGTACTTGTTTCTCATCATATTTTGCTTTTATTGCAAAAATAATTTCTTAGCTGTATTTAAATCTGCTGATTCCAAATGTTTTCCCAGCAAACCACACTTCTTCTCTTCTGTGTTTATTTGCTTGCCATCTGATACTACCCTTTGCATGACCTGACTTCTCTTTACAGAATTTTTTTTACTCTGTCTTCTCTTAACTCTTCCCTCAATGTCTGTCCTTTAAAATATGGCCTGCCAATATCAGTTAAGAATGCCTGCGTATACTCTGTCCAATTTTGCTGTTTTCCAAGGGTGGCCAGGTCAATATTCATAATAAATTGCTATTTCTCTGTTATTTTCTGCTATCTCTATCTGTTGCTAATCCTTCAGTTAATCTTCTCAAATGGCATTTCATTAATAGTTCAGAGGACTTAAAATCTGATGCTTCTAGAGACTTCTCAATCCAACCAAGTCCATCTTACAGTGTTGTTGCACATGTAGGTGATGGCTCAGCCTTGAACATTTGGTTTCAAAGCTTGCACTGGCTTTTGAGACTTCTCAGGATTTTACATACTGGTTTTAATTTTTTTTTTTTTGAAAACTAGTCTGTATATTCAGACTCTCAGTTTTCCTTCGTCTCCCAAGACTGCAATTGCAAAGAACTCTTAAATGTGAGCGACTGATAAATACAGTTTTTTTTAAGTATGTTGGACTTGATTATTTTCTGTAACATGCTGTTCATTAATAATCTGTTTCAGATATTTTTTGTGCTGCGTAAGAAGAACAATCAAGTTACATTCCTGCATGTCTTTCATCATTCCATCATGCCATGGACCTGGTGGTTTGGAGTCAAATTTGCTGCAGGTAGTGGAGAGAGAGTTGAGTTGGAGTTGAACATATCTTCTGGTAGTAAAAGTTAACTACGGTGAACAAAAATAAAAAAAGAACAGAATTAAACGTCTTGCAAGCATCAATGATTTTAAATTTAGATTTCTGCAGTATTTTATTGAACAACTGAGATTACCGTAATTATTTAAAAGGTTGGAGACTATGCATTTTTCCTATTTGACAGCATTTTGTGCAGTACTGATTTCTTATGGGGGGGAAAAGCTGCAGAGGAGAGAGTTATATATAATCAAAAAGCACTATTACATGAAAAAGGCAAGTGATAGTAAAATCGGAAGCGCTGGAGGAGATGCATGAGGCAAATAACTCTGTTAAAACTACTTCAAAACCATTTATCCTCATGAAATGTTTTAACTGTGTTGTGAGGGAGGACTGTTCTCCTTATTTTTTCTGTTTGAGAAATTATTCAGTCTTTGTTGCAGTTACTTTTACTGGCTTTAGGTAGTGTGAGTGGGGTTTATTTACATATAATACTTTGGCTTTCACAAAGCTACAGAAATATTTTTCTAGATTTTCTTTATTAAAGAAACATATTTGAATTGTACTGAATTGAAATTCCTTGTCCACTACCGGCTTACCTTCACTTTCTCCTTTTCTGCTTTGTGTATCTATGCATGCATCTTCCTATGTTATATTATTAGTGTGGACCACTAATAAGTACAGCTTGCCATGACAATAATCTGATAAGAACAGAGTGGAGAAATGCACAGCCAATTTCTGGGACAGTTTAGGCCTTTTTAGGAGTTTTTACTGAGGAATAGGGAGGGTTGTTAATGTTTATTCCCTTATGTTTCCTGACAGCATGTTTTGGATTATTTTGTCCCAGAACATTGGTGATGGATTGATGAAGAGAATAATTTCTTATTAATCTGATCTGTTAGAGTCTGTTTTATAAAAACAAAAACAAAACCTGGAAGCAGTCCAGAATATGTGCAGATGGGATCCATTGAATCTGTCCAGTGTGCAGCTTTTGCTAATGTGTATATATATATATATATATATATATATATATATATATATATATATATATATATGATATACTTCTACTGCATTTGTTGAGTTTCTATTATTAGGAAACTGGTGAATTGACTATGTAATTCTCAAATCTTTCTGAGTAACTGGTATTAAGTTAATGACAAAATTGTGAGTAGTTTTCTCAGCATACACTTCAATGTGTTTATAGGTTTGCAAAAGAAAACCTGCAGCAAATAGCAGTCTCTCCTCTTCAACCTTGAAAATTTTCCACTTAATAGGTGATTAACTTTCTACCTTTTATCTGGATGTTAGATCAGTATACCAGCTGCAGGCTTATGATTTTGCATAAGATTCAAATTTCCCATGTGATAACTTGACAAATACTTTCAGCAAAGTGTGCAAGAATTGTTTTGTCCTCTGCTAGTAATAGTTCCTCTTATTCATGCAGAGCTGTGTTTACTCCAAAAACTCTATTGCTTATCTTTACACTTATCTTTCTAAATATTTTTCTGTTTGATAACTTAAATTTTTTCCAAGAATTTAGTCCTGCTGATGATTACCTTGTATTCAGTTTCATCACTGTTTCTCTTTCTAAATAGCAGCATCTATCAAGTTTTCAACCTGTTTGTAAAAAACCAATACATTTGGATGGAGATGCTGATTATTCTTTGATCGGATATACATAGAGAATTGTAACATGGTGCTTAGTATAGTGTTGCTTTTTGGTGCATATTGCACTGTTGATTAGGTTGGGTTTTTTCTTTTTTCTCTGCTTTAACTATTTATTTTTTCTTCTGAATATTCACTGTGCAAGCCAAAAAAAAGTATGTATGTTTGAACTGTAAGAACACTCAAATTATTTTTAAAAATACAAATAGCTAAGTTTCAAAGAAAGTTTGCAATTACAGCTGGAGGAGTTATGCTCTATCAAGCTGGAAGAGTAGTGTGAGCTACTAAAACCACAAAATATTTTATTTTTAATTCAAATGATTCTTAATGGGAAAATAGCACTCTTTTTTTATCACTAAATCTCTCCTTTTATGTATTTTTTTTTAATGCTCAATATTTTCATGTTCATATTTCTCTTTCTTATTTCATTTCATATTTCTCTTACTTTGCTGTCTGCTGCTTCTTGGATCACTTTTACCTCTAATTTCTTGCATTCATTAAAATTCTGAAGTAATTTATGAGATAGCAAACTGATATGATCCCTCAGAACTGATATCAACCCAATTCAGGGTTTAAATACCTTGAGGATTAGTCAAAATCTAGTTTTTTTGGTACATGTTTTTCCTACTCTTACTCAAAATATCTGCTAGAACCTGAGGTAGCTTTTTAAATATCTGATGCTATACTACTGCTATGTTTTGTTTTTTTTACAGGTGGTTTGGGAACATTTCATGCTTTGTTGAACTGTATTGTCCATGTTGTCATGTACACTTATTATGGAATCTGTTCTTTGGGACCAGCCTACCATAAATATTTGTGGTGGAAAAAGTACCTGACAACTATACAACTTGTAAGTAACTGTTTTTTACAAATACAAGTCTCAAAAATGTGATTGTGGCTGACACAGACTTAGTGGAATAAATTTGTACTTTTAGTTATTTATGTTCATGTGTGTGAGTTACAGTTGGTACAAGATTTATCTTTTAACTGAGAAAAACAAAAGGTATGAGCTCTCCAGTTATATACTTAAATCTACTGACTTCAGCATCCACTCTAAGCGTGGATGTAGACACATGAGCTTTTCAGTTATGCAGTACTTGGTAAATATGTTTACAAAACTCATTGCTTGTATAAAAATTATTAAAATGTAAGTTTATACCAAGAAAATACAATTAATATACAGAATACATATGTAACTAGTAGTGAGGAAAGGGAAAAAATATTTCTTTTGAATTTCATGTCTGTTCTTTCATAGAAAATGTTTATGTTTAAAGAATTTAGTCACAGCATCACAGAATATTCTGAGTTGAAAGAGAGACACAAGGCTCATAGAGTCCAGTTCTTAAATGAAACTGGATCAAATCCACAGTCTTGGCGTTAGTAGCACCATGCTCTAACCAACTGAGCTAATCTCACGGTCCTCTCTTCACCCCAGAGCATTACAAAATACTCTTGCAGTAATTACATTGTGTTTTATCAGCTCTATATCACTTTCAAAAGGTTATGATTCTGGGTGATTTTTTTATGCCCGTCTTTAATAGCTGGATTTTCGAAATTCATCTCTTGGCTAAAAAATTGGCTTATCATGAGCAAGGATGCTAATAGAGGAGGGAGAGGACCACCCTGTCTCCTTGCACGTAGGGCTGATGTTAATAGAATAGTTCATGTAACCATGTGCAACTCTGAACAATATAGCTTGAATATTTATAACTCGGTCTTTTTGTCTTGGAGGCACTATCAGTGGACTATTAACTTGGAGTTCATGGGGAATACTTTTTTTGGTCACATGCTAGTGTCCAGGGAAGGTGGGAATTCATGTTCCCAAACCCTGTAATGGTTGTTCTTTCTCCCCCCGCCTGGCTAATTTCTCTAAAGGAGCCTCCCATTTGTCACTAGTCAAACACTGTTTGCCTCCTTCCTTCTTCTCTGAACTGACCAGAGTAGAATCCCATTCTCCTGCTACGAGTTTCTCAGTGCTGCTTGTAATTCAACTTGTCCCAGAACTTTTCTTTCTTTTCTCTGTAAAACTGTTTTTCAGTGGAGTAATATTTTTGGAGAGGGGCTGTAAAGGGGATCTCTGTCATATTAAGAAGTTGTGTTGGTGTCTCTGTTGCTCCCCACTTTCCTCCAGCTCCACTCCTCCTATCTGTTTTCATGCATACAAGTTATCCTGATTTTTTTTAAAACTTCTTTAGTAAGTATGTAATTTATTTAAAAAGTACTTTTTTTCCCTCCAGGTCCAGTTTATTATGATTACAGTTCATATAGGACAAATCTACGTCATGGATGATTGTCCGTACCAGTATCCAATTTTCATGTTTATTATTTGGCTGTATGGCTCTATGTTTTTAGTCTTGTTTCTACACTTCTGGTACCACGCTTACACGAAAGGACAAAGACTACCAAAGATGGCAAGAAATGGGATCCACAAAGATCAGTAAAACAAATTCTTGTCTCTAAAACCAAAAAGTATATACGTCAAAGGGGAAATTTGCACTACTTGACAATCAAGATATTTAGGTGCGCACACTACATGGTGTATATTTTTTATGTTTTCTTCCAAAACAGAATTTGTATTTTACCATAAGTTATTTGGGATTCAGAATATGAGGGCTGGGGGGAGCACTGTGGATCTCTGATTAAAAAAAAAAAAAAAAAAAAAAAAAAAAAAAAAAAAAAAAAAAAAAAAAA